GCAAAATCATTCTGGCGTACTCTTCGGGAGACGGGGGACAAATTGAGTCCCCCACCCGAGCGCTTGTCAACTGACATGCCACCTGTATCTGCACTTCAGTAGATTGCTCTGCTTAATGAACCTCTCCCGATGAGGACAGTGCCCGACTGGCACACTCCCTGAGGGTTTTTTTCTGTCACGTGATCAGGCAACGAGGAATGCTCCACCCCAGCCAAGCAACATCAAAACTATAGGAGAATGTTTCACATCTGTAGGATGTTTTGAACTGAAAGAGTTATCGTGAAGATCATTCAGCGCATTTCCCAGTCTTGTTACTCTTAAAACCTATACCCCCTCCACCCACACAGTTTTTAAGCTACATGCCCGCGAAGAGGGCACAAGAAGATGCGAAGATGGCGACAAGTACTTTTTTCTGGGATAGTTGAAAGACTTACAAGATTGGCATGCTTTTAAGTCTTTTCTACTTGAAAAATGTCAACAGTTGTAAGTTGGCTTATTACATCATATCTGAATCTTGCTTAAATATCTTGAAATGTGAAGCATTCCCTTTATAAGAGAGCAGAACGTATTCATAGCTAAACGTAGTCATTCAACTGGTTACTAACCCATTTCCGGTGCCAAAACATTATATGTAGGACTAGTATCGCTTTTTGCATGCATGCATGGTCTGGGCAAACTATTTTGAAATGCTTGCGTTGGTCACGCTGGTCGTCCTGTAAGCCCAAACAGCTAAGCGCAAGCTTGGTGCTGGCTGGGACCAGGGGCCAGCGCCGGGTAATGGGTGGTCACGTCAGTCACCCGTAATATGAGTTTTGTACCGTGTTCGCTGGAGATGTTGACATCAGTCTATCTCTAATTTCTCATCAGAAATAAAGGTTCTGGAATTTAGACATAAAATGGAGTCATTTTAACTTCTTTATCATGAATTTGAAATTGAAAATTTGGTGAATGGTGGGAAGCATCTAAAAATATGGTTTCATAATTTTGTCCAATACAGACAATCGTAAATGATGTGTCGTTTTCATATCAAAATGGTTGTTCTCCATGTGGTTGGTGCTATGCCTCGTGTGCGTAATGTTATGCCATTCCAAACATGTCATTAAAGCTGTTGACGAGCTGCTTCATCAAAAATGTATGCCACACAACGAACATTTGGTATTTTGCGAGATCGCATAACTTGTGGACTAAATGTTGCTTGAAGGTTGGCTCTGAGGAATGAGGTGGAAAAATATTTCTGATCATTCTTATCGCCCTTTTCTGCAGAATCACTAACGTCTTGAATCTAGTATAATAATTGACACACCAGAAAACGCAATAACGATCAAGGTATGGTGGAACTAGATCATTACACAGCAGCAATATATATTTTGTCAGTAAAGCGATTGTTTCCAACGATGATGTCCATATTCCTACTGATGCAATTGTCTAATTCCTCCTATATGTACTCCTAAATAACCTCTTGAATGAATTTGCAAGCCCTTGATGCGCCAGGCTGGTTTTCAGTTGTAACTTGCATGACGTTTGCATTACTCCTGTCATTTTTGAACATTTTCTCTCGAGGAGTGATGACCTATCCAAAATGGCTATGACTCTCGGCCCATTTTTGAAAGTCACGTTAGTGAGGTTTCTCGCAAGATGAACAATAAAGTTCACTTGCTGTCAATTGGGCCATGCTCCTTGTTATCAGCAATAAATTTTGACGTCAGCAGCGTCCGACCTTATTGATTGGAGACTAAGAACTCGCTAAGCTGAGTCAAAAAATGAAAAATAGGTAAAAACCATTAAAAGCAGGTTGCGCTAAGATTGGCGCAGACACACTGCATTGGTGATTGTTCATTTGGCATCTCGCTTTGCTAATGGGCACATGTATGCGTTGGGACACTAATCTTGCAAAGGTCCTGCAACATCATAATCTTAAACTACAGATCAATGCGTAGGATATACACAGAGTTGTTGGTCTTGATATCACATACAAGTGACATGTTCACTGCATACAACTGAAACTGTGGACGGCTCACTGTTTACAAATGTTGACGTTGGGACTGTTGACATTGCAACTGTAATTCGACAGCTGCATATGACTGTCTTATGATAACTGTATATTGCTGCAATACAACTGTAGATGACTGTTTATGACAACCATATATCACCACAATACAACTGTTTAGTATAGCTGCCACTCAATAACACCGTATGCGATTGGCCCTTAAAATTAACCTTGTAACCATGCGTAATGCAGGAAAATGAAGTCACAAAATGTGCCTAGCACAAATTGAATACGGTACGTCGGTACGAGCATCTTGCTCCCTATTACTTAACATCACTTTTGTGTTATTATTAGAACCGAATAAATGACAACATAGTTTTGCTTCACCTGGCACACACTTTGCATGTTTTGTAGATATTGGCCGTCTGGAACAGTTGGCATATTGAGTCGTTTGTTCTTATACTGTTGTAATATGGGTGCTCATCAACGGCAGATGGAGGAAATGTTGAGCTTCAAAGACAGGCTGATACACTAAGTGGTACATGCACCTTACCGAAATCGTTACCGTCGGAGACAATGCGGAAAAATGACGTTTATCCGATGGTCAAAGCACCGATGTTTGCATTATGTGGCAAATAAAAACATGCTGACTGAACGACCCAGCTTCACCTCAGAGAGAAAAAGCTGACCCAAGAAGAAACTGGTTATAGTTTGATATATTAGCCAATTATCAATGCGGCAGTGTGTCTAGCCACATATTTTTTTCCAAATGGTAGATAGTGATTGTTGGAAGATGCATAATACATAATAACATTCTGGCCTGTAGTGATATTTCCGCCGCTTGAGTCACCACTCATTTGACCCAGACTTAAAAACCCGGACAATTGTAGAACAGGAATATAGCGAAGAGCACGCTGGCGCGGAAGGTTTCTTTCGTAATAGCTCGCCCAAAGCAGAGAAGCTTCTTTGACAGCAGCTGATCATTAGCATAACCCCTTGCCTCCGATTAATCCAACCCAGCTGACCCGCCCCACCGAAGTTTTCGAAACCTTCCGTGGCGATGGCATTCCGTCACCTGCAATAGACGGCAATTATTGACACGCTGCGGATGATCTTTGCATACATCCCAGCAAAGCAAAGCCCACAGAGACGGACGATAGGGTAGCCATACTTTGCCCGGTTAGCCATACTATCTCCACCTGATCTTGGCTCAACACGTTGAAAGCAAGCATCTGGAATATTTTTTTCTGGGTGTAGCTCTGTATTTATTATCCGTGCTCTTGGCGGCTTGATTTCTTTGTTGTGTACGGCTTATCATTGATAAATGCATTGGCATCGCGTGCATCCATTTCCCCCGCGGCACACACCAATGCTCGTCTTCTGGTCGTTCGCAAACAGCAGCTAAAATGGTCCAGATGATTAGGCAGCTCATACCAGCAAATGCGGCCATAAATGCAGTCATACATCATTGCAAAATGACGCATGGTTTGAATTTGCCGCCATTGCTTCCTCGTTGTCATTAGACAGCGCGAGCGGAGACGTGCCATTAATCTCGCGACCAGACTGATTACGCGATATATCTAAAGCGTTTCGGAAATTCGGGCAATTAACTTTTGTCTTCAATCATGCTGCCAGCGCGCCGCCGGCCTCTCCTTCGGCGGGATGGCTCGCGAGGGCAGCATATGTATTGATAAACGAGCGGCGGGCGCTGCGGACTGGCCGGCCGCCCGGCCGCCGGCGGGCCCGGCCTGATTCGCTCTGCGGCCGGCGGCGGCTCGTTTTTGCCGCAGCTCAGCCGGCCGGCTGCCGATGCGGCCGCACGCGCTCTCCGGAGACGCCGGCGCGAGCCGCGGCCGCCACACGGGCCGCGCAAAAACGCTCGCCCAGCGTGGACGCGAGCGGGCTTCGCCGGGCAGGCTTCGGCATCGGCTCTCGGTGGTAAAGCCCTTTCGCTCGGGACTCGGGAAAAGTGTTCGCCGTCGCCACCGTGCCGCTTCCAGGCCAGTGTCTGTGCGTCATGTGAGCGCGATCTGGAACCGAATCTGCCCTGAACTCGCTCAGAACTGGTTGCACATTTCCGGCTCGTTTCCCGGAGCCGTCCGAACCCCAGCCCGTTATTGACTGGTCCCATGAAATCAATCGGCCGTGCCAAGCTCCCGCGCAGGGCATATTGACAAAAGGTATTTGCCACTGATCGCCGCCGGATCCTTTGATCCCACCGCCAGATGCCCGGTGTTCATCTGTCCGTGCTGCTGCGTCGGGTGCCGGGCAGGAGGAGGGGGGCAGGAGGTGACGAATCGGCCCCGGCTGGCGCCACGGAAGCAGTGCCGGGGCGTCGATGAATCTGCCACCTTCATTACAGCGGCACACGCCAGCCATAATGACCACGACGGCCGGTGCATTAAGCGCCCGTAGACGCCGCCGTTGACCGACGCTGGGCCGCGGCCGCCAGCAGGCCCCTCTCAATGTAAAGTGCGCCCCATCGCACGGCCCCGCGGCTGGTACTTACAGGTCGCGTGCCTTTTAATTGTTACACCGCTCACAGCGGTCGTGAACGGGCGAGCGAGTGCTGCCAACGAGCGCTGTCCCTTCCCATGAATGTCGCCGTGCCGTCGACTTACACCAGTGTTTATGAGGCCGGCGTTCGTATTTCAACCCCAGCTTTCCGTTCAGTGGAACGCCCGGCAAACGCAAAAGCGTCCCTCGAATACATGACGGGAGCTAAGGAAAGCGAACGCTTGACGCGGACTTGGAAAAGAAAATGTTTGACGCGAGCTTGAGAAACAGAATGCTTGACGTGACCTTGAGAAAGAGACAGTATGACGTGAGCTTGGGAAACACAGTGCTTGACAGAGCTTGAGAAACGGTCGGTGAGCGGAAATGTGAACGTTTCCATTGGGCCATACGTGTTGCAGGAGTGCTGCGTGAGCATCGCTGTTTGGAAAAGCCTCTCGTAAGACCCGCTGAAGTGGCGAGCGTCTTCTGTAGCCTGCCGGCTGTACTCTGTTGGCAGTGCCGGTGACGACGGTGCTGGGTCTGGCTGGCGGCGAGGCTGCGCTGCCCTGCAACATGACGCACCCGGCCGGAGACACGGTGCTCATCGTGCTGTGGTACAGAAACGGCTCTGACGCGCCGGTGTTCAGGTGAGGCGACTGCACAAGCCAGACCGGCTGGCCCGGCTCGAGCCCAGCAGCCCGCGCACGCAGGTGAGGTGACCTGCAGCGGTCCGGCCAGCTGGACCGGCTCGAGCCCAGCAGCCCGCGCACGCAGACGAGGTGACCTGCAGCGGTCCGGCCAGCTGGCCCGGCTCGAGCCCAGCAGGCCGTGCACGCAGGTGGGGTCACCTGTCGGCACCGCCTACAATACACAAACACCCTACTCGCCATGTCGGTGTTATTCCTGGGCGCACAATGCGTTGTTGGATGACGTCGTACTTTACGTGGGCGCTTGAGCACGTCTAGTTTATACATGCAGCTCAAGTCGGGCCACGCAGCTTTGCAGCCTTGAGAAGGGTTTTGAAGAGCTTCAAATAGCATCGAAGCGCATGAATAATGCATCTTTCATTCATGTAATCATGGCGTCGCTGTAGCCCTCTACAACGGCAATCCTGTATTGTTGCTCTCCCGGCTGGCCATGTGTATTGTAACTTGTTTGTGCCGAAAAGGCGACTCCGACACGTGGGCTTGGATTTCCCATGGGGAACTGCTGTATACGACACAAGAGGTTATAAGTCTTTCTGGGTGAATAATTGGGCCATTAGCACGCCCCAAGTGTTTCTCGGAAACGAGGTGGCCAAGACGTCAACGCTCACCACCCGAGGGTGGACACCCCAGAGTTGTGCTGGTTTGTCACATCCGAAACTGGCGTTAGTCCGACCGACAGGTCAGCCCAGAGTCGCGCCAACTTCTCGACCAATGTGTGAGGCTCAGAGCTGGGTGCGAAAGTCGTGCTACATGGTGAATGAGTCGGTCGCGTGTTGCTGGAAATGCACCGTTGAGAGTCGCCTGATAATTGGCCTCATTTTCATCACGCCGCGATCAAGTTTCGGGATGAGATCTTGTCACGGAACCATTAGCTAGCAGCGCGATCGGAATCGTACGCATGGCTGCACGAACCGACAGCCACAGTCCGCCTGGCGGCCGTCGCCAGGCAACAGCCCGCGGAGTCCCAGTGCGCTGATGGCGGATCTGTCGCGCTGTCTCGGATGCGTGCCGTGCTCGTCGCATCCGGCGGCCCCATCGCGCCGCGCGCTGGCGCCGGACGCCGGCGCCCGTGCCCAGGGGCGCCACCAGGAGCCCATGTTCTGGGCGGGGACGACCGATGGCCTGGGGAGCGGGCGGAGTGGTGACCGGCGGGATAACCGGAGCTAATTATTTGAGGGGACAAGTTATGCAGCCATGTTACTGTGCTGCCCCCAGGGGCCAAGCAGACCCCAGGGGTTGCCGCGGCCCCGGCCACTGGCGTCTTCTCGGGCCGGGCTATGCAGATGAATCTGGCAGCGCCGCCTGATCTGGCAGCGTGGTCTGATCTGGCAGCCGGGATTTATGGCGGCCGTCCGGCGGCGATCCGTCAGCGGCGAACGGTGCGCGTCCGGCCGCGCCGTCGGGCGCGAATATTTTACAGGCGGCGGGCGCTCGCGGCGCGACGGAACCGCTCTCGGCTCGACAAATCGTCAGGCTTTATCGCGCGAGCGCCGGTCGGCGGAAGCGGCCGCGCCCGGGGCCACGAGCCGACCGGTCCTGAGACAATCGACCCGCGGCCCCGGGCCGAGGCTGGCCGCCGACTGTCCAAGAGCTGGTGGCCATCGCTCGCCATGTCGCAGTGCGGTCAGATGTCAGCTCCATGGGCCTTTTTTCCTCCGTGGTCTGTGCTACGGAACTCTGTAAATCGATCTTTCAAAAACTTGTTTGAGCACACGACCATTGGCAGTGACATGGTGTTTTCGACGCTGCCAAACACATGTTTTTAACATTTACCAATAAACCTAAAGGAAAACACGTCTGGCGAATATAATACCCTTTTAAGTACCCTTTTTGGCGGTGGGGCGTAGCTGCGCCAAATTATCCAGAAATGCAAGCAAATGAATATCCCACCTTTTTGGTACAAAATATGTACATCGTGAGACCACTGACCTACAGCAGTTTAAAGTCAGGTCATGGTTAACAGTTAATGCAATTCCTAGGGAATAGTTCAGTCTAAAGTGACGGCGGAGTGCTGACGACATCATGCAATCTTAACACGCGCTCGGGTGTGGGGGGGGGGGGCTCAAATTGACCCCCTCCTATGGGAATGTGACATGAAGCAACCACCAACGCAGTGGCGGTTACTTCATGCTAGTTACTTTACTTTACTACTATTGCTTTTTATTACTGCAATACAGTGTTTATCCAACTAAAAGTTAAAGTGCAAGAAAAAAGCCTGCATGCAGGCGGATTCAAGCAAACAGATATCACGCATCAATTATACATGCAAGCGATTTTAAGTTAACAGGCATCGCGCATTACTTAACATGCGCTCGGGTGGGGGTCAAAATGACCCTCCACAAAGGTTTTTCCAGAATGGTTTCCGAACGGCGCGGCGCAGCCGCGCCAAATTTTGCATAGCTGTAGACAATTGAATAGCGGATCGTTTGGTGAAAATCAATTTAGATGCATCTTGTAAGGTCGCTGGTCTATGGCAGGTCAGAGTTAGACCGTGGTTTCAGCGAAGGCAATTTCTAGGGAATCCTTCAATCTGATCCAACAAAGGAGTTTTAGACAAAGCCATACATTTCTGAAATACTTTCTTAGACAACCAAAACAACTAAATGAGCAAATTGCATTGGTCTTAGGTCAGGTATAAAGGTCAGACCAATGTCAAAACCAACCTGTTTTATTGCTCTAGGACTTGCTATATGGGATAGCTTCTAGTATTCATTTCGAATTTATTGATAGCAGGAACCGCATTCTACATCTTTAATGGGGCTTCTTTGAGGTCAGAATAGGTCATAGAGCTAAAATGACCCGGGTCAACATTTGTTTTTTAGGAGCACACTGCCTAGCGTTATCTTCATCGCTTATTCAAATTCAAAACTCATAGCAGTCTTGTATGTTTTTGATCACCATGACCTTACAAAGGTCAAACAAGGTCAACTATTTTAAATGAATATGTGACCTTTTGCTTAGAAACAGTCATCAATGCTCTTGGGGCATTTTGGGGACCAACCAGGATTTAACCTTGGTTGACCTTATTTGACCTGAAGGTCATCACTTAGGAACCTCAAACTTCGACCTCATTGAGTTCACGTATAGGTTAACATACCCTGTGAATTTGGTGTCCCTAGCTTTCATAATTCTTGAGATCTCAGTGGGGTCAAATTTACCCCCATCCGAGCGAAGGGTATCCGGCAGGCAACCCGGACGCTTGTTAAGATGGTTTCTAAGAAAACCTTATGTCAGGCATAAAGATAATGTCAAGGTAAAAAACACGTTGTTAACAAGCAAACCGCATTATTATTATTATGGTCTAGTTCTCCACAATCATTTCAAATTCCACAAAGACAGCAGACGATTTCCATTTGTTTGCACTTACCTTTAATCAAGCTCCTCTTTTGAAAAGCTGCGTGCATGTCTTCCGTAGTTCTTGCTGCTGTTAGTTAAGTCAACTCCCCGAACAATTTCAGTTGTTTTCGGTCATCTTGACCTTTTAAAGATCAAATAATGTCACTGGACTAATGCGAACACTAGTGGGATTTTTCTTACAAAACGTATCTAGGTTACACCGCTACTGCGGTGTGCTGGTTGCATGAGGAGGTAGACGGGAGCTTCGTACATCGATCTGGCGACTGGCATTGTTCGACCTTATTTGCTCGGACGGATGCAACTTAGAGATCGTAAATTCATTAGGCAGCTGCACCTGTGAGAAACATGGCAAAGCCGGCACTTCCGATCAGTCCTGTTCGTGATCAGTGGTGATGTTGTATGTTTGCTCCCACCCTCCCCTACTCCCTTCCCCAACGCCGTCGTCATCGGCTCGCTCCCCGACCAAACAAATGCCACTCCGGAGACGGCGAAAGTGCGCCGAGTACGACCCCGCGCTGGGCGCGCCAAATCTGTCACAGCCGCAGTGGTCCGTGGCGGGGCACGCTGTCGGTGGCCGCCAGCCTGTCCTCGATGCGACGGCTGTTCCGTCTCGAGCACTTCGCGGATTGGATCAGTCCACGGATTGATCAACAGTCCACGGATTGGGGATCAATCCGCGGGCCGCGTTGGACAGGATCAGACATTTTCACCAAAACATGGATTAGGACCGGAAAGGATTTTCAAATTTGCTAACAGTACTTTTAATTTTCAGCAATGCACTGAAAAGGCTACATAGAACATTACTCAGCTACGTATTCTACAAAATTTTTCTAACGAACAGATCACAGCGTCAATTCGATATGAATGAGAGACACTCAGATATGCTGGTATGGAAAACTAGAGCTCCCATTCCTTCCAAAGTAGCTAAAATGTATAATGGTATGATATATCTACATTGGTTTTTGACCGCATAAATGTGATTTCATGCAGCTGTGCGATGCACGAGTACACCTAGACATAGCTTTCGGATATTTCCGGTATGAGGTGATGCTCACAGCTGAGACTGTTTCATCAGTTGGTGCGTCCGAGGATGGATACACACCTGAAGTATCATATATGAGGTTAGATGGTGGCTCTAGCTATTCAGAAAGAATACTAAACAATTATCGTCCTGTGCTTTTCAACTAGGCGCCGCTAAAACTGTGTAGTGACATGTGTAGGCATGCTGCACCTACCCTGGATTGTGAAAATCTTGGACAATGTTCTCATTCCGAAAGGGAAACCAGAAGCGATTTTGCTACCGCAGTGAGGTGGTACTTGTGAATTATCAAGCAATATAATTGTGATGTGATTAACAACACGATTAGCCTTGTTCCATTCTTCACGGAAAATCGCACGCCTTTCTAGCAACAAGCTGTGCTAAGAAGCTCAGCACCCACTGTTTTATATCAACTTATTGCACATTTTTATTCAATTAAAATCCACACATTTCTTAAATTAAGCATGCTCAGTTAAACCAACATTACTGTTGAAGTTTTAAAAAGTATTGAATACGAAAGCGGGTTGACAGGAGTTTATCTTAT